TCTGAGGATAAGGAGCGTGTGTGAGGTCGAGATGACATAATGACTTGGGGCGATTCTGGACAAAATGAGAGTCAAGATTTTGTTGCTTGGAATTCAAATCACAATCTGTATTTATGTAATGTTATTTAAATGAAATAGGCAGGTTGATATAACATCTGTCTTCTTCCTGTTCATGTAGTTTGTGATTGTGTTCTGTAAATTTGTTTTGCTTCAGCTGGGTTTTCTCCTCGATTCATTTCGCTGTTGTTTTTGTCAGGTTTCCGACAGGAAATAACTTTTCTCTGCTTCTCTCTTTTTCACATTTGGTTTTCTTCTACTGCTCATCGTGTGTGTTAACACCGTCATAATTGAGATCACGATTTAAAGGCGATTAACTATTCAGCCCTAATAGTGACTGTGCTTCCGTTGTTTGCATCTTGTGTTGAATCTAAATTCCTCCTCCCTGGGGAATAGCACTGTTTAATTCTCTGTCACTCACTGGGAGAAGAGTCTAAGTTTAGCTCGAAAAAGGCTCCCCCCACCCCTCCCCCATGTTTTACCTGCGCACATACAGCAAATGCATTTCTCCTTTGAACCCACACAAAAACAAATGCATGCACAACAACACGCACACGCTTAACCCCATGGCCTGCTGAGTGTCATGTGACCAGTGGAGGAGGGTGAAGGAAGGCCCGGGCTTAATTAAGCTGAAGCCAATCAGAGAAGTTGGAGTAGGACAATGTTGTCTGGCGCCTTGGGGTTTCTCAGCTCCCGCGGGCTCATCTGTCTCACACACACACACACGCACGCACGCACACGCACGCGCACACACACACACACACACACACACACACACACACACACAATAAACTTCCAGTCGCAGAGACAATTCGAAAACCATAAAACCAACACAAAATAAGATATGCTCGTGTGTGTGTGTGTGTGTGTGTGTGTGTGTGTGTGTGTGTGCCTTCACTGACCTGCAGTTACCCTCAGTTCTGTGTCGGTTCCTTGGTGATGGAGATGCTGGTAGAAACTCTGGTAGAACTTGGAGAACAACTTTATATTTATGTTTTTTCATGGGAAGTGAGTTTTGCGTGTGTATTCAAACTCCTCCACTTGGCATTTATTGAATTATACAGAGTCGTATAAACATCACCCTGCATGTTTGCAGTGAATGGTGATGTTTTTCTCACGTCATGGGTTTGAACCTTTTGTTGGTTCAGATGATTTGTTTTCGCCTGGATAGCGAAGGACTCAATACACCAACATGATCCCAACACCCAAATTAGAATAGTTAAGTTTTTAAACTAAGTCGTATTTTGAAATCTGTAGATATCAACAACAGCAAATGCAGTTGTCAGAAAAAAATGTTTGCGTCATTATTCGACTTTACAACTCCGACCCCCGAAGGTTCTTCTTTACAGCGAAGACACAAATTCAAGGCCTGTCACAAAAAACATGCTCACAAATACTAAATCCGCTGCGTATCTGAGGTTTGTTCTGATAAATACACACCGCTCTTTGAGCAACGTGAACATCGTCCATTATTGTCATGAAAGAGAAGACGACAGAATCATCTGTTGTCATTGAAGACAGACAGCGACACACACACACACACACACACAAACAATGATGAACAGTCCTGACCACGCCGCTGACAACTCCAATCATCTGCCAGTCGCCAACAAGGCCGACAAGAAGCAGATGATGTCAGTTCCCCCTCTTTATTGAGTTATCAGGGTGATTGAGTGTAATTGAGCAATGCATCGGAGTGCAGAGAGAAGACACCCAGCCTCCGGAGAGACTGGAGGAGGAGGAAGGGGGTTTCAGGAACCAGGAAATGCTGCGCGGCACCAGGGCCATGAGATTAGAGCCGACAATGACTGACGGTTACTTGCTGGCTCGAAATCATCCAATAAGAGTGAGCGAGGCCTTCGCCAGATGAAGAATTTGAGTCGCACAAAGATTTCTTTATCTGCTGTCAGAACAGAGAGCGTGCACTTCAGTTCAATGTGACTCATTGTTTAAAGGATCCAGACATGGCCACTTCATTTCCTCATTGCATGTATTGAGAAATCTTCCTGTTTATTTAGACACGTTTCAACATGCGATCTATCTTGGGTCACGCTCATAGACTGTATCCACCCACCACATTTCAAGGAAGATGATTCAGACAGAGGACGAAATGGGAATGAAAACAAACTTCTCTGTCAAGCTTGTGTGATCTTGACTTTTAAAATGTGTGAGTGTTATTACAGAGCACAGTGGTTTATAGTTTATGGATGTGGATCAGATTTGTACTTGATTTAAAGCTGCTAAAACTCTGCTGTAGATCCACTCAGAACAGCATCACACCCTCTGGAGGTGAAGATGCACCTTCAGAAGAGATGTTTGGTCGCGTGGGGTTTAGTGAAAGGAGGAAAGCTTGTGTAGGAGATAAGTATCGTCAGAATGTGGCAGTGAGGAAGAGCTTTGAACGGAGGTTCTCCAGTCTCGATCCAAAATATACTCAGTGATAGACTCAGTTATCAGCTCTGATCATAATCTAAATCAGTTCAGAACCAGACGTTGGTTCGAAGCTGCAGTTTGGTCAAGATGAGAAGAATCATCTTTTCCTGTTTATCCTTCCCTGGTTAAAATCAAACAATCATCTTCATCTTCAACTTCCATCCACTGTTCAAAGAGGAGAATCTAAACAAGTCTTTTTTATTTTCTTTGAAATAAAATAATGTTGGTTTTCTGAGACTGGAACCAACCTGGATATCTTTCTCCTCTCTAATTGAAGTGAGGCCTCAGGAGTTCGATGCACTCAGGAGAGAATTTCTTGTGCTGATTTGGTTGTTTACTTTATCCTCACAATTCCCTCATCTACTTCTCATCCCCTTCACTCACAGGCTCGCTCACTTTCCCAGCTCTCATATTGCAGGACTTCATATTCAGCTTAAAAGTAACTTAAATAAAACTCATGAATAACTCTGCATAGAATTTTTCTGCTTCTGTCTTATTTGCATCATTTTCTCTTCTCTTCATTTTTTTTTTTTTAATCAATTCAAAGCTGCTTATTTGTTGACTCGGCTGTTTTCTTAAAAAAGCAGGTGCTGGCAAAAAAATGCAAAGAGTGAGAGATGGGACAGTTTGTTTGTTTAGTTAGTAAATTGTACATTTAAATACAAAAGGACAAGAACATCTCTATATCTTGTTACTTCTATTTTATCCTTTAACCATAGACTTACATGCTTTTCACTTATTTGTTTAAAACGTCAGTGGATTATTTGCTTGAGATGTACTTACTCCACTTCTTCATTTCTATACTGTGCAACAGAACAGAACAGAAATGGGACAGTGTGGGTTTCCTGCAGAAACTGACGTGAAACACTAAAAGCAAAGAATGTGTTCGTATGATGCACTTTCCAGAGCGACATATGATTTTGTCAGCATTTTCCACCATTATTGTCAGACAGCGTATCATAACAATTCGCCATCATCTCAATGCTAATTCATCGCAACCAGCTGCCTCCGCTAGCGACGCTGCGTAGGCTGCCATTCTCACCGGGTTCTGAGAGGTGGCCGATCTACTCGGTCCATGTAGGCACTAATGGAATGAGCGAAATGCTTTTGTTGTGAAAACATTTCCTCACAATGGAATGCAGGTTGCACCAGAGTAGCCTCATCATACAACAGGGGTGGGGAGGCTTTTTCCGTTTCACTTTTCATGACATCCTCATCGTCGATATACTGAAAACTTACGGTAGTGTCACTCTAACCTGAAATGCGAAACCTTCCCCTTCTGGTAGTGATGATGATGCTGCTATCGCATGGTTTTCAGTCATGAACAGAAGGTTAGAAGTCTCTTAGCAGAGGGAGGTTGTCGGGATAAGATCGTTGTTGTCTCATAGATCAATGATTTCGTCCTCAGGCACATCAGCTGGTTCCACATTAATACATTTCCAACTTAACAGTTTTCGTGGACTGAAAAAAGACGCTCCTTCCCCTTTCTGATTAATGTTTCAGCTTCTTTTTAGCTCCCTCACCACCAACCCTCACTGCACGTCTCCTGTCGGACTGTTTGCCCTCTGAAAGCTGCTCGTTTGGCACATAGACACCGAAGAGCATTTACTTTGTCCAAGCACATTTATCCTTGCTACTCACACAGTTGCGTCTCCCGCTGACTTGCTTGAGATTTGCCTTTCTCATCACTCACTGACTGTATCCTCGTAAATTAGGTTCACTGGTTTGTCTTTTACTTGAAGAAAGAAAATAATGGATAGTTTGAAATTCTGCAGCTTTTAACAGTCGCCATGATGCACGTCAGCGATGATGTGTAACAGCTACATGTTTCCTTCCCTGTGACCTGCAGGCAAACAGCCTTGAGCCCTGAAGGACATGCTTCTGTTTCATGCTCTATTGTCCTGTGATCCAGATCAAATTGTCTCATGGCTTCTGTACGTCTCAGAGACTAGAGGTTGTCCACCCCGGTCAGACGTTAATATATACGTGTGTATAGATGCAAACAATTCAAGCATTTTAACATTGTGTTGCTTTTTTTAAACGCCTGGGAGAGCGCACTCGAACGAGCTGCCTTTCATTTCATGTTTGCTTCACAGTCTTTATTGTTGCCTGATGTAGCTGCTCTGGAGGCTGAGTCGTCATTATACTGCACTTCCTTTAAATACATGTCAGTCATTGTGTATATACATATATCGTGCGTCAGACAGGAAGTGTTATTATCATTTAACCTAAAGCATGAATTGTTTTCCTAACCCTAGACAACCTATTTATCTTCAGCAATGTACAACATCCTGTTTACGGTGATGAGTTGACTGTGAGTCAGGACTGACCGACTGAGTCTGACATGAAAATGCTGCAACATCGGTTAATTCTCTGAAATGCCACTTGTGCTAAATGACTGTTTAATGTTATTCAGTTCTGAAAGACGTTGCGTCAGTTTTACCATTTAAAGAAACAAATAAAACGAGAAGCACAACATCCTTGACTCTGTCCTGTTTCCTCCTCTGCAGACACTCTCTCAGTGCCTCGCTGGTCCCCACAGATTCCCCGAAGAGATCTGGGAAACTCAATAAAACACAGGTAGGCCTCTAGCAAAGTGTGTAGGTGTGTGTGTGTGTGTGTGTGTGTGTGTGTGTGTTTGCTTATGTGCATACAGTCATACATATGTGGTAGAGCGCCCGTGCAATTAAAGCCTCTTGCATAACTCAGCTCTCTTTCCGTCTCTGTCTGTCTCTCTCTCTCGTCCTCTCTCAACCTGCTTGCCTCTAAATGCCAGTGATCTGAAAAGTAAAACAATGCCGTGGTAGTTGTGGGATCTCAACAACCTCCAGAACGTGGGTGTTGTGCAGCTGAAAGTCAGAGAGGTGCAGAGAGAAGCTCTCAGCCTCATCACACGCAGCCAAACTGAGTGCAAATGTAATTTATAGAGCTGTTATTTGAAGATTAGGGCTGATTTTAAGAGAAACGCCATTATTCCATCTCACCGTCTCCCTGACGCTCCACTTTGCATATTTCAAACGTGTGCCCTTGATCGCATTGTTTGCCTCTTAGGATAAATGCATTTGTGTAGCTGATGCACAGTGCACCTCTGTGGCTGCAGGACCTTTTCTGTGCATTTCTTTTTGCAGAATCTGCCCTTGATTTCACATCATTATTCACATTTGACAGCGAAATCCACAAATAAATCCATCAGGGGTTGGGTGGGGCTGCGCCCGTCAATTGAGCTGAAGGAGGAGCCTAATAAAGAGATTTGAAATCTGTCAAACTGCATTAGTCATCTGCCATTAGCAGCCAGCCGCACTGCCGGCACGCAGCCGTAACATCGGTAAATGCAGCCAATATAGTCGCATGTGCACCTTAACCGCTCGGCGTGTTTGTGCAGGGAATTGCTGTCGCTGCGAAGCACGTTGTGGATTTGTTAGTTTGACGAGTGACTGCGTGGGACTCTTTGAAAGTGGTGGAGGCCTCTGAGCTCCCATAACCACGACTGATTGTTGCAGTGATGTAAACCCTGTGGCCTCGGTCCTGCGCTGCTGAGCAACCGTCAAAGATGTGCATTTGCACAGTGTTACCGAAGAAATGAAAATGAAGTGGGCCCAAATCAAATCAGCAGGTGCAGGGAGATTGTGGGGGAGAATACTTTCTCATCTATTATCCGCACAGAAAGATGTGCAACAAGCTAAAAGTGATGTCCTGACTTTTTCAAAATGTCCTCTTCTCGCTCGTTTTTGATTTGCCCGCAGGTTTTCCACAAAGTATTGGATGTCCCAGACATGCATAGTGTGTGGAAAGGGAATGTTGTTTGGACTGAAATGTAAAAACTGCAAGTGAGTTATTAAGCCTTTTTCCACATTTAGTTACTCTTACAAACATTTACTGAGATTTGTTGTTATTCTTAGTTTTCTGATAATGAATTGATTTAACCTGATATTAAATGTGTTTTTCTTTGAATCAGGCTGAAGTGCCACAACAAATGCACCAAAGAAGCCCCACCTTGCCATTTACTGATCATACAGCGAGGCGGACGAGAATCTCTCAAAGGTATTTTTCTTCATGGAACATTTCTCTCAAAGCTTTTCCAGGTTCCTGAAAATGTTTAGATTCTTCTTCTGAAAGTTGTTTTTTTCAGTTTTCTTGAGCAAGAAAAAAAAATACTAACTTGGAAATTCACATTTCACAGTGTTCAGTACCTTTGTGGGTAGAATGATTTGAAGTTTCGTGGGGATTGAAAGAGACTATTATACCTAATTGATCTAATTTTATAAAGACAATCCATGACCATGCCTTCATTGATTAGCATGCTGGTCAGTAGTGTAATGACATTTTAACTAAATATAATGTGCAGCCTAACTGATTACAGTTTAAGTTACTTGCTGTGGTTATTTGTTTGTTGATGTTTTAATCACAACTAGAATTTTAGATTTTGAACCCGGCGGCTTTCTGTCCTCATGATTATTCATATATTTCAATACATTTGGGTCCCGAGAGCTACTGAAGATACTCGTTCCTGTTATTTCTCAATTTTAAAAGAGTGAAAGCCGCTGGTTTTAGCAGATAAAAAGTTATCTGCTGATTAATGAAGCCACTTAGGTTTGACAAATGTTATTACGTCACGCGCTGAAGAAAAAAAAAAACATTATCTGTTCTCAGAATTGAGATTCTTTTGTCTTTTCTCTGCCTCCTCCCTTTCCTCTCTCCCCCTAATAAGATCACCAAGGAACGACTCAAGGTAAAGAACACTGATTAGACTTCTTCTCTCCCACTTTAGTAAGCAAGAGAGACAATTTCTTGGAGACAATTTGCTTAAGGAATTATTTTAGCAGTGTCTGTCTGCGATAACAAATGGATGGTGTTCAAGAAAGGGCATTTTGACATTTTTCACATTAGAATCAGGTCCTGATAATAAGTTTTGTTCCATTTTACTGAGGCTGTTAGTTGAGTATTGTCTGATTTCAGCCTCCCACTGTGTTTTAATTGTTCCCCTGTGCTCCTGTTCTGCAGTAGCTCGTCTGGTACGGACAGAATCAGTGCCATGTGACATCAACAACCCGCTCAGGTACACAGACCTGCACATCAGTCAGACGCTCCCTAAAACCAACAAAATCAACAAGGTAAGTGGAAAGAAAAAAGTTTGTATAACAAAGTGTGTGTAACCTGTCCTACATATCACATTCCTTCCGTTTTGGGAGCCCGGAAAATGGTTGTGAGTCATCCAGTCACTCCTCGGGGATCATGAAACCAAACGAAAATATCTTCAGCAATGTTGATGTTTACACAGATGGATTTTTTTTTTTCACACAATGTTTTCATCTAACAACCGCCGCTCCTGTTCAGAGGAAAAAGTTTGCTGTCAATATTAATGATGGAAATCCTGCGTGTCAAGACGGAAAGTGAACCTGTAATGTGAGACAAATACAAATACACCTCCGTCTTTGGGTTAAAGATACGACTGAAGGATGATGAGTTGTGCAATATCTCTGGTAAACAGATCTTTCTTTACAGTCCCACTCTAGTTAACACAGGTTAAAACCATCAAGGTGGAAATCCTGAGTTTGCGTTTCTAAGAAATGTGGGTTTGTATTTTGTCATCACGTCTGATGAGTCTTAAGGCGGAATTCTGTTCATGCATGTTGTTGTGACATTTGACATTTTCCCATCGGAAGGTCACAATAACACAACTCAGGTAACCTCAGTGACTCCTAACGACCCTCCAAGACAAATACCTGGGACTCCCAGCAGCCAGTTAGAACTGAAGAAGCCTCTTGGATGAGTTGAAACGTCTTCACCAAACTCAACCATGTCCAGTTGACCTGTTTTCAGCACTTGAACAAACAACTTGACACAACTTTTCTTGCCATTTCACAACACCTGTGGTTTAAACTGGAAGGCTCAGATCTCCTGCGAGTGCCACTGACTGTTATTAAAGACCACGATTGCAAATAAAATCCTTTATTTGTCCAAACTGTCTCCCAGCCTCAATGACCATATAGGTGTCTTGTCTCCACCTTTGGATCCGACCCGTTCCCTGCGTGTTGCAGTGGCTGGTTTTCTGTGAATTTGTAATGGGTCATGGGTTTGGTTTTACGTTTAGACACAAATACAATACTCAGTTAGGTTTAGCTGAAGATTTGGGTTTTTAAAAAAAGCAATCAGAGGTTCGGGGGCCTTCGTTGTCACGGTTGCAGTAACAAACGTGTGGTTAAGTTCCTGGAAAAGTCATCGATGTAAAAAAAAACCAAGACCATTTGTGGTTTGGAAGTGGGAACTTATCCATTTCAAAGTCCGTCTAACCCATCACCCCAACCCTCCTCGTACAGACACCTTATGGGGTCATTTTTTACAGGAGGACATTCTCCCAGTAGATCAGTGAACATATATAGAACATCTTCAGCTGTGTTGATGTTTACACAGATGGGTTTCTTGAATGTGTTCCAGCCAGCTCATCAAACAACTGCTGTAAATACTATGACGGGAATCTTACGAAACATGTGAGCGTGTGAAGGAAGAAAGTGAAACCTGTAACGTGAGCCCACAACAAATACACAACATTCACATGCTTTGTTTTCCTTGTTTATAGTTTCAGCTGATTACAGAAGGTGGGAGCGCTGAGTTAGATAGTTTAGAAATGGGTTTGTGTGTTGTCATCACATCTAATCAGACATTAGGACGAGATCAGAGGGTTTTCACATTTATGTGACCTCTGATATTTTCCCATGAGATGGTATGAGAAACACAGTTCAACTTGGCACAAGGTTAAATGTTTTCTTAGGGCATTTGTGTGAATCTTTATGAGGCTGCAGGATGGTTCAGAGAATTCAAACCGGAAGGGCGAGAAAATCTGTGCCAGTGACACTAAAACGGTCCCTTGTGTGCGATGTATGTCCAATAACCGATGTTATTTTTGAAAGGAGACCACCAACGCAACACACATCAAGTGGATCGGAAAGGAAAAATATGTAGAACATAGAAGTTTTACTTAGAATATTATACAGTATTTCACATTTTGCTTCATTCATTGTAAACTGCATGTACTTTGCATTTTTTTCCGATCGTTTTTCAAAGCGTAGCCCGAATCTTTAGATTGATTTCCCTCCTCCAAGGCAGCCATTGATTTCCCCTCACGACCGGCGCAGATTTGGAAACTTGCTTGAGGAACGTAATCCATCACACTTATGTTTTGTCAGTTACATTTTCATCACATTGCGTTTAAATGCTGGAAACCTGTAACTGTTGGTGCGTTCAAGAACGCTCTGTCATCAGAGGTTTTACAATGCAAGTTTTATTCCACCAAGTTCTGCTCGGCGCAATCGGGAGAGACGTGATATTAGAAAAGTGATAATTTAGGAGTTTTTGCTCGAACAGGCTTCGGTTGAGTAGACCCTGTTATGACATCGTAATATTTAGGCATCAGTAGAAATGAAATCTTAGAGTCTAGACAGTGGATGATGTAGATCTAAAAGAAACGAGAGTTTGGTAACAGAGGCGAGTTACATCTTCAGTTGGAGACTTGAACAGATCCTGGAGCAGGATTATTGAGAAACGGGATTGGACTCTGGTGAAGGTGGAGATGACATTAACAGTGCAAAGGACTATTTTACATTCTTCTGGTAACATAGTTTTCCCTAATTCAATTAGCCAAACTTATTTCCCCACATGTTGGAGCTTCTTTGAAAGCACCACTCAGGATGGTTCTGAGAACGCTTCCTCTAAACAATGGCAACGCGTCTTTGTCAGGAAAGAAACGGCAGCACATCTCACATTGTGATGAATCACCTCTGTCAGGAAAAGTTTCAATTTGAAATGAATGTAACCGAGTGCTGCCTGGAAGGTAGAAAATCAATCTCGATATGTGGAAGTATAATTCACAGAGATGCAAAGAACAATGAAGAAGAGTTTCAGCTTAAAACTTCCAAAAATCACCAGTGTTGAAATGTAAGTAAAGCTTCTTCGTTGTCCCTCTGTTTCCTGTGTCCTCTCAGGATCACATCCCAGTCCCGTACCAACCGGACTCCAGCAGCAATCCCTCCTCCACCACCTCCTCCACCCCGTCCTCTCCAGCTCCGCCCCTGCCCAGCAGTGCCACGCCCCCCTCGCCACTACACCCGTCCCCACAGTCGGCACGGCAACAGAAACAGTTCAACTTGACGGGTATGAGAAAGTCCTGACTGCAGTCAAATGAATTATTCGACAGCGTTATAACCAGTGACTGTAGATAAAGACAGACGGGGTATTCCTCCACTTCTGCCAAAATATCCTGGATACCATCGCTGCCATTTTGTGCTCCTAACCTCATTTGTATTGAGAGTCTGCACAGTTCTGATTGAGGGGTGGAGCCAGTGTATCGACATCCCGCCAACACAAAATCATGATCTTTTAACATCTGGGTCGAAAGAGGAACTAATTCATTACGACTACACATTTGAAATTCTTCTAACAATACTAAAGATCTGCAGCAACTTTATGTCGAACTGTAAATGTGCAACCTACATGTAAAGAAACAGGATTTCTGAGAATCCCATATTTAGAAATGAATAACTCGTGTCTGGCCATGACATGACAATAAATGAGAAAGTCCGAATAAATTCCCACCAACATCTTTGTGTGAACTGAAATTTGTGCTGTGGAGTAGAACTCGGTCTTAGGATCTGATTTGTCTCTTTTCTGCAGCCTCCAGTTACTTCAAATACAAACAACAGTTCATCTTCCCAGGTAAGTCCCTCGTAACTGATCATTACCCTTACCCATGATGCACTGCTACTAGCCCAGGATGAGTGAGGACGAGGGAGGAGGGTTCTTTTGATGTCATCTCGTCTCATCTTTAAGACTCTTGGTCCCTACACCTACTCGTTGCTGCTCTCGTCCGGGCTCCTAATGACTTGTCAAAGCCTGGACTCTTTGCCTTTGTCCACACTGGTGCCACACACCGCCTCCGCTCATTTGGCAGGTTATTACGACTCAGACGACCGGGGCTGGTGCGAGGTGAAGTTAAGTTGAGACGTGCGAAGACGGGTTTTTGGGAATCCAGGCCCACTTGCGGTACCCTGGCTCTGACTAATGCAGCCACCGGCGCTGTTGACTTTCTTCCACTTAAATGTAATCAGCTGCCTTTTACAAGCCGCATAACAACATAGTCAATCATTCACTTACTGTTGGCCCCATCAATCTAGAGCCATTACGCTATAAGTGGAACTAATGTCACTTTCTCGTCAAATTAAATTTATTGTAAATGGTTTTGAAAAAGTAAATAAAAAAAAAAAATCCATAAACCTCCAGGGGCGATCACAGTGTGATTTGATCGAGTGTTAGCTCTCTGTGTCACGAGGGTCTCCGGCAGGAATAAGCCGTACAGGTTGTCACAGGGATCACATAGTTATACAGTGTACGACCGGCTCAGATTCACACCACCGGATCATTCACAGCCTGAAATCCTCCTGGCTCGCTGGTCTCTGGAGTAAATCCATGCAAACATCCAATCAGGCCCCACAAAGAAAAAGAAAAACAGGTCCTCCCGGCTGTGAGGCGAGGGTGACAGCGACTAATGCACCGTGCCACAAAGGGAACGATTTCTGTGGCTCCCACTTTGTGTCACAAATTGTCAGAATGTGCCAACGCAGGCGGCAACCGTGGCGAGGAACCCTCCGATGTCTTTCAGAGGTGGATACGGCACAAAGGCCGACCCTGCTCCATCTTACATGTTGAACAGAGGACCATCCTGAGAGTATAAGGAAAATCCAACTTACTCTTTTTTCCATTATATGAAGGGCAGTAGGTCCTTCGATGGAAAATAACGTACCTTTAAATGACACTTTGCTTGAATATGGTTCGAGAATGTAAATGTGTTTTTCCTCCAGTTGAATTATCCTGTATTTTGTAAGTAAATCAGAGAAGTTTAAGCCTCTCAGCTGTTAAACACCAGGACTTTCAACGTGGCATTTCATCAAAACTCACAAACTTTGGGAAGAAGTTTGTGATGTAAAATTTTCAAAACGTCACGGGCAGGTTTTTTTTTTAGAAGTGCTGCTGTTTAGCAGTAGGTATTAGATTTCTTCACCAGCATATTCAAAATCAACTGTTAGTTGATTTTCTTCTTCTTCTTTCATAATTCTGTAAGTTTGTAGGAAGTTGTTAAAGCCGGTTTAAGGGAATCACGACTCACAAGCTTGAGTTTTATTTATTATTCAGTGTTTATCATGCTGCTGTCTGTTTTAATTATGTTTTCCATAGTAATCAAGTACATTTTTTCTTCAGTGTTCCCTATGATGTGATCAGCCGTGTGGGGGTTTCCCTTCACATTATTAATAATAGAAAGTTAGTTCTGTGCAGTCACCAGATTGAAGTCATTTCTCCCATAATATCAGAGCTTGATGAAAGCGGTGAACAGAAGGTACACGGTACAGATGTCTTACTGCTCACTGAAAAGAAGGAGACTACACTTTCTTCCTAACTTACAGGCTTCTTTACTCAAAGCCTCTTCTATCATGAAGGGACCAGACATTATTATTATACTATAATACCTAAACTACAATAGTGTTCTCCTATTATACTGCTATATTCTATACTTTTGTATTATTTGTTCAATTTTACAATTGCTATTATTCTGATACATAGCAATAGTAAAGATGTTAGCAGTGTTTACCATTTAGAAAATTGCAATAAAAAAAACTATCGTTGTGCTGATTTGTCGGTTGAATATTTTGTGACTGTTTGCAGATGTTGCTCCGGAGGCTCCTCCCAGCAGAGCACCGCAGGTCATCCTGCACCCTGTCCTGTCTGAACCCGGGTGAGCAGAACCTCATCACTGAAGCAATTCAATGAAACCGCATGGCGAGCTGCATTTGAGACAAATGAAAACAGTCCTTCTGATCTTCATCAGACCCATCTCTTCTTTCAGTCATCTTTCTTTCTTCCTCCTCCTCCTCCTCTGGTTCTCTCTGTGGCCGCTGGTCAGAGGCCAAGTCAGATTTATTGGAGCAGATATTTGGGTGACAATTTCAGTGCGAGGGCCGACATGACGAATACTCAGAGACTAATGTTAGCATGGCCTTTAGTTCATGCTACACTTGGGATGCCAACTGGATTTCCAGCGGCTCTTTGAGGAAGCCAGTGGTCACGTTAAAACAACCGGAAGAGGAGGAGGAATGATGAGATGCCTTTCGACCCAGATGTTAATTAGATCAGGATCTCAATCTATCACAAGAAACAGGGCGAGAGAACATCGTTCTGCAAGCGCACGGTCAATTGTGATGAAATATGGACCCTACCCATGGATTACAATGGTTTAATCAATAGCGAATTTGGCCACAGTTAATTTTATTTTCAAAATATCAACAGTCTTCCAAAGGTCTTACATCGAGGGATAGGACATGGGGCTGCACATGTTCGTGATGCACTTGGATAGAAAAAAAAAAAAAAAGAGGCTGTATTTGATGTCTTCACGCTCATTTCTGTAGCAGCTGCCAGCTTTGAGATAAAGAATGGGAAGCGATGTCTGGAAATAATAAGAATCAGAAGAAAGTATGATAACAAATAATGGTACACATACGTCACAGTGGGCTCCGTTTGTGTTTGAATAGAAAAGGGTTGTCAGAGGGTTACTGTTGCATTCATTACCATAATGATTATAATGTTTGTAAAGCTCATGCCAGTTTTGCACACAAATGCGTGTAGGATATGTTTTTCCTTTAAAGAAGAAAAGATTTCGTCTCCGTCGTCCCACTGTGCCAGATTGTGAATGAGGTGCATGGGCATGTAGCACAACCTTCTATCCATACATTCAGAACATCTATGTAAATGGGCTGGTGGGAAAAAAAACAACCAGTCCGAGCCCAGATTTCACACAGACTCCAACCTGCCAGCCCCTCGTAGCCAAGTGGGTTTGTACAGTACACAATGAAACAATATTTTTGTTCTCAAGCATCCCATTATTAAATATAACCCAGTTTAGTCTCGATCACATTAATGCGGGTGACAGAAATCTTGAACAGTATTCTGTACTTTTCATTATTTTACAATTTCTCCTCTTCACATCCTCACAATCTCTCATTCTTCACCTTTTCACGAAGCATTGAGACCCATATACTTCTGATTTAATTAAGGCTTTTGTCCCCTCCTCTCCCACACCTTCTTTGCTCTGGCAGAGGCAGCTGTTAGATCTCTGTGGTCTTAATGGCCTCATCCCAGGGTTAATGAGAGCCTGTCTCAGACCCCCAACACCCGGCAGGATCCCCTCATTAGAGCGCAGATCGAAGCGGTGGTAGAGACCCTTGGCGCCGCAGGAATCACACATTATTTTATAAGCTGCCTCACCTGTGGTCTTTGCCCAGAGTCCAGGATTGCTTTGAGAGCCAGTGTTAATATACCACAGGAAGGTTGCGAGAGGTTACTCGCTGATGTTACACAGCCAGTTATATGGACGGGGGAGGATGGGCCGAAGAGGGAAAGCGGGTTCCTTTGTGTCGTGTCATCAGCACCCACAGTGTAGGTGACAGTGTACATTCCAGGGTCAGAAATTAATAGGGACTCGGGGCGCAAATGCACTTGAGACTTCATCAAATTATAAATTAGGGTCAGAAAATGCCACCAGCAATTAGGAATGCCCTTTCTTACATTTCATCCTCTTCACACTTTATTCACTTATGTCAAATAGCCTTGATATAATGTGCTTTTTCCACACGTGGGCCACTGCAGGTGGTGTACACTGCAAACACCTCTGGTCCAGTAATTATTTCCAGTGTGATCCTAAATTTAAAAATGTATTTGAACATTTTTCGGAAACTAAAGAAAAACAAGACACTCAAGATCAAAATAAAAACTGGAAGATAAACTACTTGGACATTTATTCAAATTTATCTTTAGTTTCATATTGGAAAAAATGTTTGTTTTTTATGATATCAAATGTAAAAAGGTGAAAATGTCTCATTTTTCTCATGGAAATTGCCCCAGTACAGAACCTTCATCACAACAAATAGATGGAGCATCAACAGAATGCTTCTGGTCTTTGTTAAAAAGAAAACTCGCTCATAGCCTTCGAAATCCGACCATGCAGCTGAAGTCAAGTCAAAGATTTCTTTACAGCTTTTTTGTAAACATGCTGTGGTGAACAAAACGTTTGACAAAAATCAATGGTAGACAGTTCCAGGTTCCAGCGGTGCTCACAGATTGAAGGTTTCAGGTCACTTGAATATATCAGACACTTGTGCAATCATTGGGTCATTAGTTTAATGAGGAGGTGGACATGTATTCAACCTACTGAAAAGGCCGCTACAAAAAAGTCTGAAATTGCTACAGTGTACAGTTTGTAAAGATTTTCCTGTTCAACAAATCTGGTGCCTGGGTAAGAAAGCAAAAACAGCTCTAGTTAGGTTGTGGTTGAAGTTTAAAGGACTCAAAGTGCAGACGTTCAACAAGGGACTTTCAGGAAATCCAAACTGAAAACTTGGTCAGTAAAATAGGCAAACACTCGGGGGCTAGGGCAAATATGCTAACTAAACCAAAACATGAGGCAAAAACTGGGTAGCACCGAGACTCAATACTCAAAGGAGGCAAACGCGTCCTCCCATTCCCAAGGAGCGAACAAGGGTCCAATGGGTGGATCCCTCTCCTGCCAACCTAACCCAGGATTCATTATGGGCCAGGATTCATTATGGGCCAGTGACACAGCTAACAAGCAAATGTAACGGCCACGTTGCAGCGGTTCCTCTTCGTTTGAGCCTCTCGTTCACATACAAATGGAATTTTAAGTCACTAAAATACATATTTTTACAAACTAACTCAGCAAAAAACACAAATAAAATGTATGTTCATCAGAAAGAAAGAGATCTACTTCATTATTTGTCTTCCTCTATTCTTCTCGCTTCTAGAAACGAGGGGAACCCTTTACTTCAAATCGAGGTTGAACCTACATCAGACGTGAGTCCTTTGATTTCTGACCTTTGTGCTGCTTTGAAATGTAAATTGTTCATTTCCTGCATCGTTTTACTTCCCCACATTTTTTGTCAGTAATCTCTGCGTGAAATTATTGCGCGAATCTGAATGAAGACAAAATGCAGCTTTCAGCGTCACATGTCACAGTCATTTGCATTGTTCTCCCATTTACCATAATTTGGCTCAGCTCTTTGAGGAGCCTCCAGGTAAGCTATGCGTCAAAAGCAGCAAGAAGGAGACGCAGCTTCACTGATCTTCATCGCTGTTCCTGTAACAATGATATATTTAGAGAAAATGGGATGCATATTGCTTTGAATAACAATCCAGCAGGCATCTTTGAATAGGTCATTTTCATCATATTTAAAATCAAATCAGAATAAATCTGCCAGTTTTTCCCTCTGGCTGCTTCCCCTTTTCATAACTCTCTATTTTTGTTGGTAATGGCCTAAATACCAGTCAGTACTTCCAATGCACAAAGCTCGACAGAAAATAAATACGAGGGAACACATAAGCATGTTTTTGTGCTTTTATGCCAGAGGTTTTTTGTGACAATTAACAGAACTGATTACATGTTTATTAATGAACCTTAAATCCATTAAATTATGGGCTGTATATCTTAGAAAGACGTTGTTCCTGAGACTTAACTTCTGTGCAACTTCGGAGGTCAAGTAAAGTTCAGGAATAAAGACACAGATAGTGAAAGTACAGTAAACGAAAGCATGTGTATAAAACCACACAGCTGTACAGTTGTTCTCAGGGAGCTTCTCTTACCTTGATGAATGCTACCTAGGTTGGAGGAGGTTTCAATCCACAAGCTGCTGAATAAAAGCATTTAATATCTAAAGGCTCTTTCACACAGCTCTACGTAAAGAAAAAGATATGTTGGTTTGATGTCACTGCCCCCACACTTCTGTGCGTCTTTTATGTTGCCATGGTTGTTAAGCAACACAACTGACAACAGCTTTAAAGTCTCAGCATATATACATCTGCAGTTTCTTACCAACTCAAAAAATATCTCTGCAGAGAGTTCCACCATTGCTAAAAATGTCTCGCTAACTATTGACTACGCTGCCGATTATTGCCGATGATACTTCGTGTACACATTCTCTTTGTGTTGCATAAGTATACAATTTGTCTTGATGCAGAACGAGGAAGGTAACGACGAGGACTCTGGCGACGAGTTTGAGGAGATGAACCTGTCGCTTCTGTCAGCTCGCAACTTCCAACGCAAGCATAGCCAGACCAGCATCTTCCTGCAGGAGTGGGACATCCCATTCGAGCAGCTGGGGATCGGGGAGATGATCGGCAAGGGGCGCTTCGGCAAGGTTTTCCACGGACGTTGGCACGGCGAGGTGGCCATCCGCTTGATCGACATCGAGCGCGACAACGAGGACCAGCTCAAGGCCTTCAAGCGCGAGGTGATGGCGTACCGCAACACTCGCCACGAGAATGTGGTGCTGTTTATGGGGGCGTGCATGAGTCCACCACATCTGGCCATCATCACCAGGTAAGGATGAAGATGCAGTAGAAGTACCACTCATGCATCCATCCATCCATCCATCCATCCCTTCATCCACTCATCCCACCACTCGTCCACCTATCCATCCATAGCATTTAGCCTTTGAGGGTGGGAGCTGACATTGTTAGAGGTTTATCCCAAGCATTGAAACTTGTTTGTGTGAATATTATTATTATTTACAAGTGTAAAAAAAAGTTGGAAATTTGGTTCAATCAATCCATCAGTTAAATGTTATTCGTATATTATTATATGTATAGCTCATATTCCCAAATCACAATTTGTCTCACAGGGCCTAACAAGGTGCAACATCCTCCTTGAAAGATTGTCTTATTGTCGTGTGTTCATTGTTTCACCATAATGAGTCTTTCTTCAGATGTAAAATCTGTGGTTTTCTCAGTTGCTGAACTCTGAGTGGTTTCTCTGTGGCAGCTGCTCGGCCTCCGCAGCCAGGCCTCGTCCCATGGGAGTCATTTTCAATCAGCCACAGATCTGCCCAATGAGTTTAGAGCGACTGACAATGAAGCATGCAGAGGTTATCATTAGAACAGCCTGCTGCTGATCCTGAATGGAGGAACCACCCACACCTCGTAGCGATGGTGTATCTATCTCAACGACAGTCTATGGTGGCAGATGATACGAGCGTAGAGGACCGGAGTGACTGAATGTATTTTCCTCAGTTATAACAATGAAGAGGGGGTGTGTTCTGGTTAAAGACCACCACAAGGAACGCTTGCTCGTGTAATTAATTGCTGCAGCAAATAATGTACAAAAGGAAATTGTTTGGATATTTGCCACCCTCCGTGTCGTCTGCACAGGCTGCGAACTTAATTTTCCCTTTTGTTTCCTCTCTTTTGTTTCACTAAGAAAGAAATTAATTTCCATTCTTTATAAAGAAAGAAAGAGGATGTGCTGAATTCACAGCTTTTGGAAACAAAGCTAAAAGGTTCCCCCGTTCCAATCACATTCACGGTGGTGGTAAATATATTTTGAATAACTGACTGACTGATTGACTGATTTGTTGCGATGCTTGATTGCAGTTAATACCTGAAATTGTCTCGAGTGCAGAGGAGCTCGCTGTTTCTCAGAAATCCTCACAGCTGATTAGTGCCAATAATGCAAATGTCAGTGCAACAGATGGCTTTGTTACCCACCAAGAACTCCGCTTCATGTATGACACACCAATAAGAGAGGGGAGGTGAAACACTAGTCAAACATCATCGACATACGTTTGCAGTCTTAAGTGCAACATAATAAACATCTGCAATTAAAGCTAATGGAGGTAAGTATGTTTTTCTTAAGGCTGCATTAGTGGAAATATAAATCATAATAATCATTTTTTTCTTTGATGTATTGGATTATGGCCATGTTTACGAAAACTCCTTTTCAAGAGTAAAGTGGTAATTTTACAAGAATAAATTATTTTACAGAGGGATATCAAATGACTAAAATGATGACTATGGAGCATCTTAAGTTGTATTTTACTACAGATCTCACAAATGACATCAACTTGACCATGGCCTTATATTTTGTAATATCAGCTCCACGTTATCATAAGAGGAAGAATCAGGACTTTGAAAAGATTGAGTAAGGAAACATATCGAGTTGCTGAGGGAGTGCTGCTCATAGGAGGAACAGTTGGGTTTCTCTATAATTATAAGGTCTTGGCCTTAAAGTACCTTGATATAATGTTGATTATGATTTGGCGCTATACAAATAAAATGTAATTAGATTTGCTTGAAACTGAGTCTACTCTGAAGAAAGAACCTCGCGGACTCGGAGGAAATTGCTTCTTTAGTGGAGGAAATGTTCTGATGACAGTTCACGTACAAGATTTTTTGAAGATTTTGGATACAGAAGGAACGACGCATTGGCGAGCAGAGGTTTTCTTTGCTGTGTATTTCCTTAAAAAAACAATCTTATATTCTGTACTCTCATAAAATGATGACTTCATTGCTGTCATTTTACGAGCTTCTTCTCAATTACAACTTTATTCTCTCAATTACAACTTCAATACTCAGTCGTTGATTTCTCTCAAGTGGCTGTGGATTTAATTTGGCGAGCGTCACGTGTGATGTGGTTTTTAGGCATGTGTTAAAACATGGAGGTGACTTTCAGCACTTAAAGGAGGCTTCGTTATCAATAAATGCCGCCGCTCTCTCTTCGGTCTTTTTTATCTGAGTAACAGTTGTCATGAGAAGTTTTTTTTTTTACCTTTCAAGTGAAGTGACACTAAAGCACTCAAGCCACTAGCTGCAGTTCCTCTGTCAAGAAAAAAACCCAGAGGGAAGAGAGCTGCTGAAAATGCGGTGGCTGTCAGGCGGTTGTTGGTGATGAATATGTATGAAGTGTTGGCTGCAGGTCCTTTGTTGGTCACCTGCGTGGCACAGCCAGGGTTGAGGGCTTCAGCTGTGAGGCGGGTGGGGGGGTGGGCTGTGGAGCGGTCTATTAATACGCCATGGTGATGGCACCCCTCCAGAAATATGACACCATCTTCACGAACTCAGTTTAACAGCTTCGCCCTGGCACAGAGAGGGCCCGTGTTTTAGTTCAGAACCATGACGTTTTTATCTTCTAACAAAATTAACTCACAAAATAAAAAAATTTTTGTTGGGATTCCAGAGCCTTGGAAACTCAACTTGCATGATCAAATGGGTCCGAACAGTCGTTTAAAATTTCATGCTGTTTTTCTTCCCTTTCCTCTCTCAGCTTGTGTAAAGGCAGGACACTTTACTCGGTGGTGCGGGATGCCAAGGTTGTGCTGGATGTTAACAAGACCCGACAGATCGCACAAGAGATGGTGAAGGTAAAACAACTCAGTGCTGATTTTGCGGAGCACGTCGGCGGCGGCGCTCGTCGTGTTTCCGAGCACTCACATCTCTCTTTGTGTTCAGGGGATGGGCTACCTCCACGCTAAGGGGATCTTACACAAAGACATGAAGTCCAAGAACGTGTTCTACGACAACGGCAAAGTCGTTATCACAGACTTTGGACTCTTCACCATATCGGGGGTTCTGCAGGCTGGCAGGTAATTATGTTCAATAAACATCGGAGACAGGAGCATTTTTTGTCAGCTGGAGTTTGTGACAAACATGGTGAAATTCAGTGGAGCTCCAATATATTATTTATTAAAGGACAAATCATGGCCCTTTTCACGCAGGACGAAAAAAACCCACTGACAGCTGCTAACTTCTGTATTTTGTGGAAAAAGGCACAAATTGGTCTTCAGTTCCAGGTCAGATGAGTCGTCATCACTGTTCCAGCTCAGACTTGACGAGTGGACGTGCAAACGTTCATATTATTTTGGCACAATGCTATGATGCACATCACAGAGCATGAAGCTTCCATCAGAATCCTTTGAGCCTTTTGTCACGTCAGCCACAAATTCCATCCATTTCCATTAAAGCAGTTCTGCAGAATCGTTCAGTCATTGTTGAGAGAAGTAAAAGTAACCACTGTTACATAGACAGTGGCATGAATAAAAATATCACACAAAGAATACAGTGAATCAGTGGTAACAACCAAAACAGCATAAAGTGTCTCTCACTCCTCTGAAAAGAGTTTTCTCTGTAATGTACCGTGTCACGGCTGAGCCCACCAGTGATCACATGTTGTATCCGCTCAGCCTCGACCTCACAGAGACTTTTAATCAACTGTCCAGTGAGTTACGGAGAGATTTTCTGTCACAGACCAGTAAGAGCTGCACGGTGAGCTGTCTGAATACACCCACAACATCTGCAGCCAGTCCTTCAGTGCATTATACACTAACGTGGATATTTCCCCTCATGCACAGACACGTAGCACATTATTTAACTGAATTATTCTTGTAATTTAAAAACATTCTATTGTTAATCAGATTCAGGAATGTTATCTGAGTTCTGCACCTTTTAAATGGAACGAGTTGCAATCTGTCCTCCAGCTGAAGTCTAACATTCCCATCTGTGTTTTTAAATCTGTCGTCTTATGATTCTTGTTATTGTTTTAATTAAGTACTAGTTGCTTTTATTTATCTGCTTGTGAATGTCTAATCATAAATCTCAATGAGACTTGAATCAAGATTGAATAAAAACTGAGCAATAAAACAATTTCAATAGTTATCACAGTATCATTTTAGTCAATATAACAAAAGTCCAATCTATAATAATGTATTGTATATACAGTTATTAGAAATAACACATAATATATCGACGTCAGATTTGTAGAAGCAAAAATCTGTCTTTCAATTTAAAAGACATTCGTATATGAGATTGTTTGTGATAATTATAGACATCAACCAATTTTTATGTGATATTTGTATCAAATATAAATAATTTATCATCATTGATAGTTTTTGGCCATATGGTCCAGCTCTTCTTCAAGTGAAAAACATTAACACAAAAATAATACACAACTTATTTAATGTTCCTTTAAGATATTTGAATAGTGTTTTAAAACTCACAGTGTCAACAGCTGCTTTATTCTAAGAGAAATCGCCTGAGTTGCTTTCTTGCTGAGACGTAGAGAATGAGAGCGATGAACTAACTATGAAGCCAGAACCAGGAGTCAATTAGCCTAGCTCAGCATAAACACTGTAAACAGTGGGAAACAGCTAGCCCGACTCAAAGGGTCGAACATCAGCTTTACAACATCACCAAGGCTCCGTTAACATCGTGTTGTTTTCCTGTGGTTTCGCTGGTTGAAGCATCAGTGCAACAACAAGACCCAGCTGCTTTTTTTCCAACAAAATAAACACAGCACATAATTCCCACTTTTGCCAACTGGTCCCGTTTACGTTTCTATTTCTGAACCTGCTAATGAAATGTGTTGTTGTGTGTATTAGAGCTTCCAGGAGGTGGATGTGTCTACGTCAGGACAGAGCTGTTCACACTCACTTTGTGTAAAGATACACTCAATGTCTGTTAGTGGTAGAATCCATGAGATCATTGTTGATGTTGCAGCTTTCATCTAGTTCAAATCAATTTAATTTAATAAAATCCAGATGACGTTCTTGAAAGTTACAGTATATAATACAGGTTAGTGTTTAGCGTTTTTAATTGTGTATAATCACTAACACATCTTCATATCTATATCTGGAGCCGGGTGTAGCAGCCCACATTAACCCCCCTCCAAACCATCCCTGGGGTTAAAGTGGGCTAACCTGTTTTTTACCCTGAGCTAGTCCACTTTATACCCCAGGGTATAAAACAGTCTAGCCCAGAACATCCCTCTCTAATCCAGATCAGATCAGAAATAACGTAACTCTGGGAGTAATATACAGGATTCAGCCTAGCCTGTTTTATAACCTGGGCTGCTCCAGTTTATACCTGGGGTATAAGACACGCTAGCTTTTCTGAAACAATCATTCAGTCATGACTCTGCAGCATTTGTTAACATATCCAGTGGCTTGGCTGCGTGATCCAGTAGATCAATGAAGCCTTGAACACGTTTCTGTCTCCACCTGTTTTCTTGTTCTGCAGCCGGAGAGAAGACAAGCTGAGGATCCCCAACGGCTGGCTGTGTCACCTGGCCCCGGAAATCATCCAGCAGCTTTCTCCGGACACAGAAGAAGACAAGCTTCCCTTCTCCAAACAGTCGGATGTCTTTGCTTTTGGGTGAGTGTTTCCGTGCAGGGTGATAAAATCCCACTTGATTACAGGTAAAATCCCAAATTTTCAAGCTCCCCTGATTTAGCACATGTCCTTTATGAATCCAGCCTTGATTGTGATGGAGGAAATGAGGCACAGATAGGTATTGGCAGCTGCAACACACTTTGGAGATTAAGATACGCTGATAAGTTCTCCCATGTGGCTGCGACAGGAAGTTTGTGAGCTTATAGTTGATCGAACAACACAAACCAAGACGGAGATAAACTCTTGAATTTTAAACTGATTAGAAAATTGCAGGAAGAGGGAAAAATGTGTGAATGGTGAAGAACCAAAAGACGTCAACTATCTGATTACACAGTAGGAGTGAATCCAAGAGCAGAGGAGGAGGATTTATAAATGAAGTGGTTCAGTCTGATGGAGCTCAGTCCAATGGAAGGTTTTACATCTCCCAGGTAGATGAGTTTCTCAGCTGCACAGGAAGTTCTGGTCTGTGAAGTTTGAAATAATCGTGATATTAGTGTACTAACAACTAAATAACTACTCATCATACATTTCTCTTCCCAAATGGTTTGGTGCATTTTTATAATTGTCCTAAACTGATTAATCCCAGTGGCTCCAGTCCGTCCCCCGCTGCCATTACTGATTCCTTTGTAGGCGTGGACCCTGCTCTGTTGCCTCTTAACACAATTGCATTTTCAGATGGTCCCCCATATGGAGGTTTCGTCACTATATCATTTTAAAGGGAAGAGTGCAGCACTGGCGCACAATGTCCAGCTGCTCCGTTAGAACTTGCATTACCTAGAGGTGACTCCTGAGGCTGTTTTACATATTCATCAACAATCAGCCGTCATTTTTTCCCCCCTTCTACTGGCAAAGAGCTATTTTTATACTACTCAAACCTGACGTGCAGAAGGAGAATGAAAACAACCACTTATCTGCACAGGGAGTGTGGATATGGTAATTTTGCATGAGCAGTAATTAAGAATGTGTTGTTTCTTTAATGTCTGGATGACATTTCTTAAAAACTTGGTGCTCAAAGCAACATTCACCCTCAAAGAAGAACGTTGCTGCACAGATCCAGTCATGCAGAAGCCTCGCCTACAACTGAGAAGTGAACAAAACCATTTAGTTTGATCTTTTTACGTTTGTTGTGACTGAGATTTTGCCTGGCCGGGATGTGAACCCTCCATAAAGTGTGTCTTAAAGACAGTGGTATTTGTTCTCTCAGTCCAAAGCACTGACTTGCTCTCTTCCTCCGTCCTCCCAGCACCATCTGGTACGAGTTACACGCACGTGAGTGGCCTTACAAGAGTCAGCCAGCGGAGGTGATCATATGGCAGATCGGCAGCGGGATGAAGCCCAACCTCGCCCAAACCGGCATGGGGAAGGAAATATCAGTAAGTTTCCAATTCACACGTTGGCAATATATAAAATATGTAAGATGTAGAGGAAGGCTTATAATTAAATTTTGATAATCAATTAATTGCAATTTCCCCGGTGTTTATAATGTG